ACATTCTGTGATTCTGTTTTTTTTTAATACCTAATGAATTCTGTATGTAATTTTGGTGTGCCAGTTCCACACATGCAAAGAAACCAATCTGACCTCTCTGAAATCTTGTCTTCTGACATTGCAATGATATTACAGGGGCCACCATCAGGTTTTAAATTGTCAGTTCAACCTCCAAAGCCTTTCTCTGCTCCTCAGACACTGGACATCTGGCCTTTAATGAGATTATCTCAGATGGGTGAGAGATACCTTTCATAAGACTTAGTGCTTCAGGTGATGCCTGCAGAAGTTTCTTGCCATCTGTCTTGCTGAAAGCTAAATGTCTGCAAATCACAACCTCTCTGCTTTGTAATCCTAATATTGCAAAAGAAATATTTTTATTTTTTTACCTAACAAAAATGGCACACTGCCTTGCCAGTGTCCCTGGCTGCTTGAGTGGCCCTCCAGCAACTGGTGCAAAGTTCAGAGATTTGTCACAGTAACATTGAAGTTTTGAAAGCAGTGGAGTTGGTCCTCATCCCAGAGTGGAGGAGAATTAGCTCTGCCTTTTCTAAAACACGGGATTGTCCCCTGGGTTGCTTGATGCTTTGACGTCGTCACCATGGCAGTGATCAGCTGGCAAGACTGATAAAAGAGGCCCTATTCAGTGACTCAGTGATCCTGGCCAGCCTGGGTGCTGCGGCAGGGGGGGGGGGGGGGAGCAGCTGCTGCCACAAGCAGTGAAGAGGCAAAATGGCTCTTGCTCTCCTCTTGGCAGCAGTCCTGGGAATTCTTATTGTCAAGGCTGTTTTGTTTCAGCTGAGAAACCGGAACTCCCCTCCTTGCATCAGGAGTTGGATCCCTTGGTTTGGAGCTGCGTTTCAGTTTGGGAAAGCTCCTCTGGAGTTTATAGAGCAAGCTAGAAACAAGGTAATGGCTATGGCAGCTTGGCTGCTCGTGGATGTGTGCTCAGGGTGGCTGCCTGCAAGGGGAAAGGCAAGGAGAAACTTCTGCATTAAGTTTACCACTTTCCTATCACATTTTATACTGTCAGGAGCATTTTGCTGGTGAAGGATGGGCTTTGTAATGTTGCTAAATTGTGGATCCAATCCAGGTGTGAACTCTGTGCTGTGATCATCCTGTTTGCACCGAGCACTCTTCTGCTTTGCTTCTGCAGTCTGGCTATGTGTTCACCTTGGTTTTAGATAACATGGAAAGCCCTGTGCCAGGTGCTGGGACTAGGAAACTAATTATTTATGTACCTAAAGTTAGGTTTCTGAGTACCAGCTGGTGTCCTTCAACGTTCAAGAGAGACACAGGCATGCTTGGCAGGCAACCTTTTCCATCCTAAAAAACTTACCAAGGATGGATATGAAGATGTACCCCCTGGACATGCCTTTCTTTCTCTATGGCTGTCTGATAGAGAGAGCCTAAAATGATTAATTTAGATTAGATGCTTAATTTCTAGGCAGCTAATACTAACTGACATAAAACCCAGTTTCCCATTTTCATTCAGTGATTAATTTTCATTCACCTGCTGCTGCAATATAGTCAGCCTCAAGTGTTTGATACTGAAGGATCACACAGCCCACTACTTGCAAAAACTAGTTAAAAATGAATCCACTGTAACATCCTGAAATTAAAAAAAAAAAAACCAAACACAAAACTGGGTGTTTAAAATTCTATTTATCATTTTAAACTAGTAGATATCATATTTGTAAATACTTCTTTGCAGCCATGGTTGTTATAAACACATGGTGTTAAATGAAAGCAGAGGTTCAAGTAGAATCAGCTGAAGTATGAGGTGTAAGAACATCAAGAGCTGTGAGTCTTCTATTGAAGCACATTAGGTGGACCACAGAGTAACCTTGTGTATGATCTGGAGTTCCTGGGCTTCTCTGAGCTTAGCAGGATGGTTTTAACTTTATATGACTATGTCTTTCCTGTATCTTTCATCTATGGATACCATGATCAGTTATTTGTTCATTCATCTGAGGGCAGAAATGTAGGACTGGAAGAAAATTCATTCTAGTCCTTTCTCCTACTGTTTCAGAAACCATGCCATATAATCCTTTAAATAAACTGATCAAACCTCACTTTAAAAAAAAAACAATCATAGTATTTCTTTGACTCTTCTGATAGGAGGCTGTTAGGGAGCCTCCTTGTTGTATTGAAAACATATCCTGGTGGCAACCAGACTAAAGCAGTCTGCCAGTGTCCTTTCCAGCGCAATCCCCCTTGGGGACAGATGTTTCACCATGACTTAAGGTTGCTTTAGTTGCTTTTTTTCCCAGGAAGCTTTTACCAAAATTTCTTAAGACAAAATTTTTAAACCAACCTGACAGAAGAGTCCTTTTTGGGGGTTCATTCACAGATTGAATGAGCAAAACTTTTACATGCTAAGGAATGTATTGAAGTACAAATGCAAACTCAGTGGCTCTGGGTCCACTAATTTTGATGTTCGTTTGCCTGGAGACCCTTTATGTGGCTCTTGGTGTTATGGCAGCTGCTGCCACATATGAACGCACCAGAATCACTTAAAGGACTTTCTAAACACCAGGTTTTGTTGAGACAGAAAGTAGAACAAGGAAAATTTTCAATGGGAGAGAACTCAAAATAAGGCAAAACAGAAAGAGAAGGGTTTCTGACATATCTCTCCTTTACTGTGCATGTGCAGATAGGACCTTTCCTTTGACTTTTTTCTTAGTCCAGCCACTCCTGCCTGCTCCCCTTTAAAAGAGTAGGCGCTGTAGCATAGTACAGCCAAATAAAACAGGTGCTGCTGCCAAAAGGGTCACTATCGGGCATGACAAGTGTTGCAAAATACATCTACAGTAATTCCAAGCTCTTTAATATTGCCAGAGCAGTGTTAAGTGTCCTTAGTACAAGCAAGCTGCCCTAATAACAGTGCAGCAGAGCGAAACCTCTTCAGCTCTGTAGGGTCATTGCCTTCAGGAGAGACTTTCACAATTAAAAAATTCCTCCCCTAGATTAATCCTTCAATCTGTCAAAGTGACACTCATTTATTTTTCTTTCTTGCTTAAAGAGTTATTATTATTATCATTATTATTATTATTATCATCATCATCACCATCACCATCATCATCATCATCATCGCCCCTTTTGTGTATATCCCTCACTGCTTTTTCTCTCAAGCCCTAGAGTAACATGCCAGACTTCCACTGCTTCCAACCTGCACTTTGCTTGAAGTTCACTGCTTCTGTTTTCCTCCTACAGAAGAAAATGTGGGCTGGAAGAATTGCCTGGTTTTCCTTTTGTGTCTTCATTGGGTCTAAGAAAAGAAAGATCATTTGCTGTAATAAAATATTTAATCTCTGGTCTAATAAAAGATACCATCTCTTCCTCCTAAAGCTGCCTGGGTAGTTAAAGCAGTTTTGCAGGCGATGTGGGATGGGCAGGGTGGGTAACCAGAGCCACCATGCAACATAAAATACATGTGGAGCAGCTTAATGAGGGGTTCAAAGGATGTGGTTCTCCACTTTGCCTGACAAACATGGTAAGAGTCAATAAGGAATTTCAGATGCTTCTCATCAGTTTGCAAATTAAGCTAATAAGAACAATTCAGTTAAACCCATGAGATTGTTCTGCACTGCTGTATGGACCTGTGGATCCATACATCACTCTCAGTGTGTTGATTGGATTTGGGACATGGTGCCATGTCTCAGGACTCAGTTAGATGCCTCCTCAGCCTTATTCCCTATGTATGGCTGTGTGAGGGATGGCTTGCTGGCTGGGTTACATGGCAAGGGACATGCACCCTGCATGAGGTTTAGTGTAAGGGAAACAGGCTGGAGAAGAGGACAAGGCTTCTGGTGGAGCATTTCTGAAGACAGTGTCCATAGCTGAGTTGCTAATGGTCTGTGACCCTGGTCCCACACACAGCAGAACAAAATGCTAAAGTCCCTGAGAGAGAGAGGGGACATGGCATGGAACTTGTGTGTGTGCATGCCAAGGGAGAGAAAACCAGCCCCGTGCACCTAGCTCCCAACATGAGTCTTGACACAACTGCAGCTGTCTCAGCCGAGAGTGGTTGCTCCCTGCTTGGCACTGCCCCTTGGAAAAATGGCCATTTCCTTGATTTCCTTCCTTTGGGATTCTGAAGAACATTATTTATTTCTCTGGAGTGTTACTTTCATGTAGGCTCAGATCTGCCTCTCATCATGGCACTGCTGTTTTGTGCAGTGTTTCCCAGTCTTTGGTAAAAACAGAGCTTTCTTGAGTGAAAGCCCCTAAATCCTAAGAGGATATTTATTTTGCTTTCTGTATTTATCAAGTCTCCTTAAACGCGATTTCAGACAGAGCAGTAAACTGGGACACGGTGTTGGCAGGCGGCGCCCACGCTTCCTTGGTACCCGCCCAGAACACAAGGATGTTACATGGGGAACTACTTGACAGCTTGTTCCAGTAGCTGATTTTATGACATTAGAACATCAGCATAATTATACAGGGACACATGAAAAGTCTGTTTATTCAGGTGTCTGTCTCGAATAGCAGCTATTAGTTGATGCTTAGTAACAGGGTGTAAGGAGCACACCCAGAGATGAGTACTCTGTGTTCTTCTTTTTCTTCCTAGCTTCTGTCAAGAGTTTAGGGACATCCTAGGCTGGGATTTGTATTCAAATAATCTGACTATGATAACCTAATCTCTTTTGTTATCTTGTGTATAATTTTGGTTTCACAGCATCCCACAGCTATGAATCCATGTTTTAACCATGAGCCATATGAAGAAAGTATTCTGCCTGGTTTTAAACCAGCTACCTTCTAATAGGTACCCATTAGCTTTTGCATTATGAGAAACTAGGAATAATTATTCTCTTTTCACCTTTCCTGGGATCTAAGTCCACTTAGTTTCCTCTTATGGAAACTTCCATCCATGCTTGCTGTGCATCCCTTTGCCTTTTCTAGCTCAATAGATCATATCCTGCTGAGATGGAGTGGGCACAGACACACATTACATTGAAGATGTGGGCATAGGATGGGTTTAGCTATTTGCTGTCCTTTCTCTGCTCCTTTCCTAGCAAGATAAGAGCTCAAAATTAATTATTAGCACTTGTATAATAGATCTTCCAGTCATTTCAGAAAGTGATTCTTCTGGGTGGCTGCCTTCTGTGGTGTTTCTGGATCTCATAGTTTAGGAGAGTTGACTTGAGATCATGAATAAATTTTATTTCTTTCTAAGGAATGAATTAGGAATATGTTTAAGGCCACACATCCTTATGTCTCCCTAAAAGCTGCCTTGGGCTCTTTGGTACATCCCGTTTCTCCGCTACTAATCTTGGTTTTTAATAATGCTTGTAAAAGTAGTTTGCTGAGTACTGGAATGACTTTTTGAGGCTTCCCAAGTCCTCCTTCATGAGCCCTTTAGAAAGGCACCACATTTCCCTTTCCATCCTCCTGTTGCTGAGGGCGATTTAACAGATCATGGTGGGTAGTTCTGCAACTTCATAATTTAATCCCTCTGGAGTTTTTAATTGAAATGTTTATCACTGATTTACCTGACACTTTTTAAAGCCTATTCTATTTAATACTTCCTTTCAAGCAAGGTCTCAGGCCATCCTTTGAAGCAAGGTCTCAGGCCATCCTTTGAAGCAAGGTCTCTGTCCATCACGCTTACTGAAAGGCTTCAGGGTGGGATGTGTCTTAAACTGAAGTAATCGCTTCCCCACTTGGTTTCTTGACACCTTGAGCATTTTTCAGGCTCAGCAACACACTAGGAGACTTCCTGCATCTGATATGTTTGGAAAAGTCTTTATTATTGGGAATGGGGAATGCCCATTTGGTAGTTTAATCTTCAAAACTTTTTTTAGTATTTTAATTTTACATTTAATTTATCAGATATCGTATTCATTTGTAATTTCCTGTATGGACACAAAATCCTGCTTTCTGAAGGGTGTGTCTTTGCATATTCACCATCACTGTGCTGTTCAATGAAGTGAACTTGTTCTAGAGGCCCTTTATGGAGCTTTTTAAGTTTCAATTTTGTTTAATATTGGTTTAATTTTAATTATTCTAAACAGATTGCAGGAAATTGGATGAGATTTTAAACTAGATTGTTCATGTAAGTATTTACATGTGAGCAAGACGTCCAGGATTTACTGATGGTCAGAAAACACCTACTCAGTCCTGTCAGTGGAGTTTAAGGGTAGTTCAGCTCAGCCTTCGAAAACAGAGGTGTGCAGTAGCTGGTCAGATGAATCGGGTTTTAGGCTCCCCTGACTGCATAGCCTCGATCCCTATTGTCTGTAATGGGAGTTTAGGTATCTTGCTCACTTATAATAATCTAAAATAAAGTGTTCCAATCTTAATAATTGAGTGTGACCTTAATTGAATAATTAAGTGTTATTGCAGGTTGCAATTAGTTCAAATTTAATTTTGTTTTTAAATTAGTTTAAGTACATTTTAATGTCAGTTTGAATTTTAAAAAATCTAATTTAAAAACAAATACAGTACAAATTCACTGATTTGTAACCAGACTGATGATGAGGACATGCTGATATCCATAAAAAACCAACCTGAGCAATTTAGCTATTATTAAAACGATTTTTTTTTTCATTTATTATCTCACAGAGAGTTTAAACAGGCATTCTTTCTTTAATAATTTACAGTTGAAGGACGCAATCAAAATTCAATTGATGTCAAGAGGAATCTTTTCCTTGGCTTTAAAGAGCTTTTGATGAAGCAGGTTTTGCAATACAGACACAGACAACAAAGAAATGGTTGAAGTCAGTGGCAGAAAGCATGTAAGCAAGGTGGATTTGAGGCTTTTCAGTACCCCAAGCAGATCAACAGAAAACTTTTTCTCACCCTTGTCAGAAATTTAACCTGGAAAAGAAAATCAAGTTCCTTGATGTGTCTAGAGACTTTCTGAAAGCCCCACACTTTTCTGTAAGTACAATAACTTTGCCAAAAGTAGGTGGTGTGCATGTAAATGTAAATGCTGGGCTTTTGATTTCCAAGGCTTTTGCCTGTGAGCAGAAATTGCCTCGACTAAGGAAAAGATGCTAAAGATGCTTCATTGCCCAGTTTTGATTTTTTATGCCTAAATGTGACAGCCAGTAGATATTGCACATTTGTTTGCTAGTTTAGAGTATGTACAAATACCAGTGTTTTTTCCATAGTGTAGGAATTCAGAAGTGAACAATTATTGCTGCAAGTTTGAGAGAGGTCTAGGATATTACATTGAGGGAAAATGAAAGAGTGATTTATGGCATCAAAAACCTTCCCTGAATACAAGTCTTAACAAACTCCATCTATTCTGCTCAAAGCTTGTTAGCTATTTTGATATTAATCCTTAAACATCTGTACAAGAAAGAAATCATTGGCATTAGCAGAACCTTTGAAAAAGGAGAGGAGAGGAGAGGAGAGGAGAGGAGAGGAGAGGAGAGGAGAGGAGAGGAGAGGAGAGGAGAGGAGAGGAGAGGAGAGGAGAGGAGAGGAGAGGAGAGAGGAGAGGAATTAAAAAGATGCAGGAGTGGGGAATTTGCATTAAAAAAATGTAGGTTGATTATGGATTTTCACAATGTGGGTACTTTGCTATGGCAGCCAAGAGATGCAGTAGATAATCCATCACTTGAAACTCTCTAAATCCAGGTAGGTTGTATTGTTTGAACTTTGATGTAATTAAAATATAAAATGTTAATCTCAGAGAAGGAATGTCTTCTGCTCTGCAAGAAGCAGGCCACTATGCTGTTCCCTTCTTTTCTGTAAGTCTACAAATTTTGGTCTGATTCATGTTCATCTTTGTGCACTTCTGAGCCAAGGTGAAGAGAGAGCAGGAAGGACCAGGACCTCCTTCCTGACCTCTCAGCAGTACTGAGGTCCTGCTGGGGTCCCCATCACACGTGTTAACAGTGCAGTAATATGAAATCTTTGTTTGTTCCAGCATGGGCCTGTATTCACAATATTCGCTCTGGGAAAACGGTTCACGTTTGTCACTGAGGAAGAAGGAGCTGAAGCATTTTTTAAATCTAAAGACTTAAATTTTGAACAGGCAGTACAAGAAGCTGTCAAGAATGCAGGTAAATGAGACCTATCTCTTTTTTTCATGGCAATCAAATCTAGTTACCCAGGAACATTAAAGCCCAATGCCTTAAATGCTTCTCTTAACCCATGACCATGCTACAAAATGAAAGGGACATGAAGTTCCCTCATGTAGATCCAGTGCTGGAAGCCTGCTAACTGATCTGGACTCAGTCTCAAGGGATCAAAGGTTTCTGATCCAGGCACTGTTGTTATTTTTAAACAACTCCAGTTTGAGATCAGGTCCTTTTCTGTGGCTGGATGCTCCACCTGTGTGTACCAGGTTTGGAGCAATAGTATTTTGTTCTAGCACTTAATTTGAAAATAGACTTGTAGCAATAATTAGTTGCTACCTTGCAGCAATAATTAGTTGTTATCTTGCAGCACAACAGTCATTAGAAAGGGATGAGGTATATGTCCCTCCATCAGGTCCTGTGTTTACATCCACGTGGAATCACACAGACAGGAATTCTTTGAGTAATTCGGCAATTTTGGATTATGAAATAAGAGAGGATCAAGTTGGCAGAGAGATGAAATCACAGAATCCCTGTGGCTGGAAGGCACCGCTGGAGATGATGTAGTCCAAGCCTCTGCTTGGAGCAATGTCAGTGACAGCAGGTTGCTCAGGGCTGTGTCCAGTTGGATTTTGAGTATCTCCAAGGGTGGAGACTCCTCAGCCTCTCTGGGCAATCTGTTCCTGTGTTTGACCATCATCACAATAAAAACTTTTCTATGTCTCAGTGGAATCTCCTGTACTCCCATTCGTGCCCATTGCCTCCTGCCCTGAGAAGAGTCTGGTCCCATCTTCTTTACTCCCACCACCAGATATTTGTCCACACTAATAAGATTCCCCTGAGCTTTTTCTTCTCCAGGCTGAATGGTCCCAGCCCTCTCAGCCTCTCCTGGTATGACGGAGGGGATGTTCTACAGCATGAAGACCCAAACTGTTTTTTCTTGGATTAATTTATTTTTCATTTCAATTGTTTTTGTGGAGCACGTGCACATCTCTGTACACCCACATGGAAGCTGGGGGGGAAGTCTCTGCATTATTGATTCTGGCACTGAAGCTTCATGAAGCAAGAAGATGTTTCACAGACTGGTGGAAGCAGAGGGCTCACCAAAATCTTTACAGGGTTAGAAGGAAGCATTCTGGGAATTTCACTCTAGGAAAATGAGGAATAAGGCATTTAAATTAGAGTCACAAGTTATGTGTAAAAATTTTTACTCTATCACTGAAAATCTACTTCATCTGCTTTCCAAAACATTTCTGTTTCTTTTTGTATTTAGTTTCTGTCCCTGCAGAAGCATTTTATCAGAACCACGGTAACCTCTACAGCATGATGAAGGCAAAAATGGGTCCTTCTAATCTGCACATGTTCACGGGCACTGTGTGTAAGGAGCTACATGAGCAGATGGCACACCTGGGCACAGAGGGCACAGGCGACCTCAATGACCTGGTAAGGTAAGGGAGTATTGCAGCACACCTCTAATGCGTGGGGATCCTATGTGGGAGTGGAGATGTTACCATAAAGCAGGTGGAGCTCAGGCTCACAGGTCTTAGAAAAGCTGTGTCAGGATACTCATCACTGCTTCACAGTTTCAGGTGGCTCAGAGAATGGACAGGGTTTCATCTAAAGGTGTTTCTCCCAGCTAGGAGAAACATTTGAATTACCTACTTGGATGAAAAAAGAAATCACAGCATCTTCCAACAAATCCTGTTTCCTACAAGATAGGATAAAAGCTTCACATATTTATAAAGAACTTATGAACAGATGAAATGCTTGATCTATAGCACAATGAAAACTTTTTCTGGATGTTTTGGACCAAGTCTGACCCAAAAATTAAATATGGATTCTGCAACTGACTGCTGGTAGAACTTCATTCTTCCTGTGAAAAAACTGACAGTTTCATGTGACAACAACAGAGCTTTTAACTTCTCCTCCTTCATGATCACCTGGGCTAACCCCTGTATCTTCCTTGGCCATCAGGACTACAGTTGCATTTGCCTTGGACCTGTTTCTAAGACCTCACATCCAGGTTGTCCTTTGCTGACGTTTCCTGCATAAAACATCTAAGATGCAGCTTTTTACTGCAACTAAAACATTGAGCACCTGTCAGTTCAATTACTGCAATTTGGATTAGCTGGGGAAAAAAGGGGCTTTGAAACCTCCCAGCCCCCAGTCCCACTGGTCTCAATAATAGGGTGCAAACCCCCATCTCCCAAAGTCTTCCCCCACCTGTCTTCTGAGATCAGAGTCACATCTGCTTCTAGTCATAGGCTAGAGGATAAAGGACAGAATCCATAAGACATATCCACAGTAAATCTGTGCTGAGTGTGATCTGTTCTTATGGTTTTGCTGGATGACACAGGACACATTTGGAATGCAATGCCCTGGATAATTGTTATTTAGCTGCCTCAAAATTAAATCCATAGAGCCAGCAGATGGCCCCATCTTCCTTATGATCTTTAGAAAAGCAAGAAAGTGGAAGAGTTATTGCTTGAAATACATATTTAGCAGTAGCTGGAACCCAGCAAAGACTGCATAAGGGTTTCTCAGAGTTAAAGAGTACGGGTGAAGTGACCTGGGGAAGGAGCTTAGAGTTTTCAGGGTAATGGAGGAACAAACAGGGAAAATCTGAGACAAAAAAAACTCCACAAACAAACAAACAAACAAAAGCATTGTTCAGGCCAGCAAAGCTGCAGGCAGAGGAAGGATTTCTCAGGGTGTCTGTCTGCAGGATGGTTTGTGCAATGCCCGGAAGGTCCACATGGGCTAAAACCTGAAATGAGAGGGGTGGTTAATGGGGAGAAAGGGGACCTCAGCACCCAGGGCCTTTCTGCCACTGCTCAAGTGACCAAAGGCTAACTGATGAAGTTCAGCCCCATGCAGAGAACTAGCCCAAGGTCCCTGTATCTCCCAGCCACTGCTTAAAATCTGGGATAAGGGTGTGAGTGAGGTGTGAGCCTTGTGCCTGCCCCTCCATACTGAGTCCTGCACTTCTAGTGCTGGCAATTCAACACGACACATCCTGACCAAAAACTGCTACAACAGCTTCCCTATGGCCTGTAAGTCATGGGGATCTTGTCCTTGCAGGCAAGTCATGTATCCAGCAGTGGTGAACACTCTGTTTGGGAAAGGCATCTGCCCAACAAGCCAGAGTGAAATCAAGGAGTTTGAAGAACATTTTCAAAAGTACGATGAGGACTTCGAACACGCTTCTCAGATGCCTGAATGCTTCCTGAGGTAAGAGAATGGAAATGATGCACATGGTGTACCCATTACAGGCATTTTGTTTGCTGGGATATCAACCACGAGAGTCGTTTCCCCTGGAGGATGATGTCTTTGTTGATGGTGTGTCCTTGGGTCAAGCCAGCTTTCAGTTAGGTGCTTCTAAAAAATTCTGATCTTATCTCATGCATTTTCCTGGCATAAAGCAGAAGCAACCTTGCTTGGGTGAGCAGGGTCCAGCTTGGACCTGTCAGGGAGCAGCAGAACTGGGCAAAGGGCAAAGGCCTGAGCCTCGATGTGAGTCCCAAGCTGAGGGGGCCCCCAATGATGCATCTCTCTGCTCTTTCCCACAGCTTAACTGCTTTCCCAGCAGACTGATCCCAGGTTACATGGCTGCACTATCACAGAACTGACCTTGGGTAGAGGCAACCAAACTCCAAGGAATGGAGCCTGTCAGTGCTCTCAGGGCCATGACAGCCCCTTGAGCACCTCATAGTAGTCTTCAGAAAAAACTAAATTTTAGAGGATGCTCTAAAAATGTGGCCTTTATTTTCTCAGGGGTGGTCCCAAATTAACCTAAGCAATTGTCCAAAGGCACAATGAAAACTTGTAGTGGAATAGATATGAAAATCTAGGAGACTTGCAGTCACAGGTCCTGGCTGCAAGATGAGGTCTGGCCAAGGTGAAGGTCTTAGACACGCTGTTCCTCACGTCAGTCAACACTACTGTTATTCAGACTGACAACTATTCAACTAACTGCTGCCCAGAGGCTTTTGGAAAGAAACCCAGGAGTCCTCATGAAAAAGGAAGTTTTGGGTTGTGCTGCCTCAGTTAAGTCCTTTTTGTTTGTTGCTTTTCTTTACAGGAACTGGTCTAAATCCAAAAAATGGCTTCTAAAATTATTTGAGAAAATAGTGTCAGATGCTGAAAGGACCAACCCTTCAGAGACGACATCCAAGGTAAACATCCGAGGCTATGAAATAAGATGACTTTGCTGTATATTCTGACTGAGGGAATGGAGGTCAGGAATTATTTCAGTACTGGAAGAAATAAGCCAAATATGTCAGCTTTGGTAGCTGTACCTTACTTGTCCAGTATTGCTGTCACCTACATTAGGACAGACTCATAATTTTGAGTCTTACTCCTCAATTTAGTTTATTCCTACAATTCTGAGAACTGATATCTTCCTCTGGGAAATTTCAAGCCAAGGGTCCAGAGCTATGACCCATCACCAGCCTCGGATATGGCACTTGCAGTGAGCAGTTGAAAGAGGTGAGAGAAAGACCTCTTCAATTGTTTCTCTGAGGGCACTGCACTGTGAAATTTCAATACTTCGTATGTGCTATTTTTAAACCCTGGTGTGGAGTGAGTAGATCCTCCGGCAGCCAGACTAGTAGAAAATAGCAGATTACTGGATTGGAAGCCAAGTACTCTAAATATTGATTGTGTCAAAGCTGTGATAAGTTGTCCTCCTGGTTATTCTCCTTGTCTATGGCAGGAATTCTGTATATACGGCTGACAAACACGAGGGCAGACTGGCCCTGGAATTTTGATCTACCAAACGATTATAGAACAGATCATTAAACAAAATAGGTTTTATTTAGACTTTAAAAGCTTTATATACCACAATTTATTTCATAAAATAAACCAGAAAAAAATGGAAAGAAAGAGAGGGCTGGAGAAGAGATGGTGGGAGGTCAGAAGGTGCAGGAAGTAGAAGGCACGAACTTGGTGTCTTCCATTGGGTGGGAATTTGGAAAACAGAGCGGTCATTTTTTATTCAGGGTCAGCCTCTTCCTCTCTGAAAAGTAGACAGGAAGCTTTGCCTTGAATGCATGGTTGCCCTGTATTTAAGGAAATGCTATAAACAAAAGCTGATCCTAGAACATTCCACAGTTGCTATAGTTTCAAAGAATATCAAGCCATTGAAGTCACTGGTTAGGTCACTAACAAAGCACCTGGAACTAGGGAGTTCACTGATGAATCACACCAGCTCTTCATAACAAGCACTTTTTGGGGCAGGAACAGAGAGAACATTTTCTTCATTTCCATTCATTCAACTCGTTCAGTCCCATTTTCAGGTTCTTTAAAGGAGAGAAGTAGAGCAGGAATTTAAAAAAAAAAAAAAAAAAGAGTAGAGATTTATTTTTTCTTTCTTCCACATGTAAGCAACAATGGGGAGTGGGGGATTCAAACCCCCTAAAAACTTTAAGAAAATGGAGGGTAGTGCAAGTATTCAGTAGGGATTCACGTGGTGCATTGACTTCTTCTGACCCTCTGCCTATGAATGAGACTCACTTTCTCAAAGCAGGTGTCATCTCTACTTTGTGATTGCAAAAAACCCCAGAACTAACATTACTTCTCATTAATAAATTAATCTTATGTTATATCCTTGAATTCTAGTAAGCCCTACCCTAAACTAGATTTTAATATATATTTTTTGGAAATACACATTATTATCTTTTCTTTATAACAGACACTACTGCACCATCTCCTTGATAACTTGCAAGGAAAACATCTAGCTCCCAATTACGGACTCCTGATGCTCTGGGCTTCCCAAGCAAATGCTGTCCCTGTAAGTACATCAGCTTGAGAAACACTTTCTCTCCATCCTGTTCAAAAGCCTGTATTTGGGAAACAAAGACTTTGAACCCGAGGTCACACACACTGCATGTATTCCAAAGAAGGGATTATCACGCCCACATGCATCACTACAAATATACCCAGGCTGCAATGCCACAAGAGCAATGACAAGAAAAGCTCTTCTATTATTTTTCCTAAATTATTATGTCCCCTATCGTAAGATTTTGGGAACATATGTCTCATAGCTATTAAGATCACAGTCTTAAGCTGTGAAGAGCATTTAACTCTTTTTTGAAGCACTGTGGCTGTGCTATAGTAAATATTATTTTAAATAGCCTGGTGTTATAAATTGTAAAGAATATCAAAAGCATAATATCGAGTAACTTCATCTGTGTGTAAATCCCTGAGTGAACTTGGCTCTTTCACTTTGGGGGATATGCTGTACAAATGCCAGTGTTGCTTCAGGGGAAGAAAAGCAATAGTTTGATTCTACTGCCACTTAAATTTTGCCTGTTAGAAAGAGATTTGACAGATTAATGATACAGATATATGCATGCTAACAAGATATATGCATATCTAACACAGCTTAGGCTGACCAAAGACATTTATAGGAATTTCTCAGATGAAAAATCCATAGCAGCAAAAACATCCTTTATTTACCATGACTACTAAGCTCCTTCCAGCACAGTTATGTCCGTTACAGATGTGATTTAGAAAAAAAAATGATAGTGAGTTATTTTTATATGCACTCCTAATGGATAGATCTATGTTTTTTGTAGATTGGATATTACTACAATTTACCCTAAAGGAATTTCATCCATTTCAGTGAGGTTTCTGTGGATTCATATGTCAGTATAAGTGAGAGGCGTAGCCTGCTGTCTGTTATCAGGATAACTGACATTCCTTCCACAACACTATCATTACTTACTTCTGTAATATTCAGCTGTAAATAGATATACAGATATTTTGTTGTTTCTCAGAATAGTCACAACCACTGTTCTGGTGCCTGGAATGATGAAAAAAAGCCTTTCACCTTCCAAAGGGATTTTTTACAAGCGCTTTAAACCCTTTTATCTGAAACAATTCATTTATTCCTCCTCAGCCCATGGAGTGAAGCCACAGTGTCCAAGCACTGTATAAGAAAACTAAGCTACCAGATTTGTTTTGCAGAAGGAAGGCTGCATCCACATGGGGTTATTTGGGAAATAACAGTCAGAGTTCTCATCCCTCACCAGCACAGATGGCCCGTGACCAGATCTGTGTGCAGACTGCATCTCCTGCTAGCTCCACACAAGGAGAGAGACTCCTGGCAGTGCTGCGAGACCTTCTGGTCTCATCCAACCTAAGAGGATTTTCTCCTTTCCTAAATTTCTTGATTTTCAACTTCATTGCATAATCATTTAGCAAATTATTTCTATCAGGGATATACTACTGCTTGTTTTGCTGTTAATGAAAACTTTTCCTGCCCATTTAGTGTGACTCACTGTGACAATGCCCTGCAAATTATTTGACCTAATTTCTCCTAATATTAGTAGGAATTTACTATTTAATTTTTCCTTCATTCATGCAGCTAAACCTAATCACACACGATGATTTAGTAATTCGTTTTAACACCTAGTTATTTGAAATTAAAGAAAGGATTCTGTGTTTCAAAGCTCAAAGCCAAACCTATGTCATGTTCACGGAAGATAAGTACACAGCAGATGACTAGACCTAATCTCCCAGGGTCTGAGCCCTTAGATGTGATTTCCCTCAGAAGCACAGCTCCCTGTGCATCCCAACTACAACAGGCACATTCCAAAAAAGTGCAAATGTTTTCACCTGCCTCTGTGATTTGCTACAGTGATGCTGTAATTCTCTTCCATGTTCCTGAGTTAAAGGACTTTCATCTCTGTTTAGGTTGCATTCTGGACCCTTGTCTTCATACTCTCTTATCCTTCCATTTACAAGAAAGTCATGGAAGACCTGGCTTCTGTTTTTGGCAAAGCAGGTAATAAATCCAATTGTGTCCTTCTGGAACCTAGAAATGATTTATTCTATGTTGGCCCAGCACATGGCCAATGGTTGATGGCTGGGAGTAATGAATTTCGCTGCTGAGGGTACTACTGATAACATAGGGTGCAGCTCTGAGTTCTTTACTCAACATATTGAGTAAAAAAGTCATATTTTTAAGCAAAAAACATCTCTGGTGTGAGCAAAAGGTATAAAAAGAACCATATGTATTTGCCTCTTCATTCCACACCTATCATTTAGACCTAGATTTGTATTAATCACTCTTAGGCTTTTTTCATGCATCTATGGTAGGGTCAGATGAGGTCTTTCAATTCAGCTGCTTTTCATGGTGTGACATTCACCAGAGTTACAGCTGTTCTGTGGAAAAACAGACCAGGAACTCTTTTCTGTCATCTGAGGCCAATTTGTCCAGCATGATTCACCCCCACATAACTAATCTCTTTTTCTCAAAAACCAGTCACCTACTGGGAGCAGTCATTCACATATGCAGCCCCCTGAACAATGCTTAGACTTCAATGGAAGATGTTTAGTTGACACGGGTCAAAACCACATTAAGGAACATGTCAATAATTAACCAATGAGAATAATCACGAACCAGTGCTTCAGCCTTTCTCCTGGCCCTGTTTTATTTGCTAGTGTTAACACAGGCCAAGAGCTCAGCCGTAACTACCTGTCTTGGTGCCTACAGCCCCTGAGATTCTCATGCAGTGTCCTACCAAAGTACTGAAAAAGTCTAGGGACTCTGAACTTTCAAGATGACCTTTGTTTGGCCTCTTCTGATGAATGCCATATCTACAGCTATCTTACTGTTATTAAATTATCCTCAGTGGCTTTTCTTAAACTGATTTGGGTCCATTTATTTACTTTGAAATATAAAGGACATTTCTGGATGTAAACAAGGTCTTAAAATCTTGAGGTATTCTATCAGCAGGTCTAAAGCAAGACATGTCAGCATGTATCAAAACAAGTATGAAATCTAATTTTTACACAGAATCTTCTTTCTCATGCCACAACAGGTAAAGATAAAATAGAAGTCTCTGAAGAAGACCTTAAGAAGCTTCCTTTCATTAAATGGTGCACTTTGGAAGCCATACGGCTGAGGTCTCCAGGTGCAATCACCAAGAAAGTGGTAAACCCAATAAGAATTCAGGTGAGGGGTTGTGGGGTTTTTGTGTGGTTTGGTTGGTTGGTTGGTTGGTTGGTTTTTACCCCCAAAAGGATGCTGTATGTTTTGTCTGGAAAGTGGCCTCCCAATAGATCTAGATAAAATTCAAATAGTAGAGATATTCCACAATCTCACATATAACTCCTGTTTAGTTTAACAGATTGATTCATCATCATTATTTTAATTGTCACTACTTTAAGGGTGGTTTTGCTTCTTTTGCTCATGGTCTTACCTTCAGTTTTGAACTGAATTTAAATTAAATTGAATTGAGCTGGAGATATTGTGCTGATGGTATATGAAATAGTAATCAGACACAACAAATACAGTAAAAGGCACCACAACTCAGCAACTGATAAAACCCTTTATTTTCTGTTTGCTGTTTAGTGGGGAAGTGCCAGCATTCAGGAGTCTAACATAGAAACATTTGGGAGAAAATCACTCTCTTAAGGAATCAGCACTCACACCCATTTAGGAAATTACTGAAGTCCCATAAAGGCCTATTGTCACAGAAGTCTTTCTATGAATTTCTTTGTGTTTTCAAGGAAGTGCTTAACAAAAGACTTACTTAGAAAAAAATGCCAGTTCACCTGGTACATCAAGAAGTGAGAAAGACAGAAATAATGTTTCTATTAATTCTATACCTGAAAAACCAAATGAGAACAGAAATAGTCCTTCCACATTCTCCACTGTTTATGTCTTTCCTATGGAAAAAAAGGCAACAGCAAGAAAAAGCTTCAAACATATAATATGCCCACCGTGGCTTTACCACTTTCACTTGTCCTCTGTTAGGACCTGCTGGTGGCAGACAAGTACTAAGGAGGGACTGTTTTGTGAGTTGAACCTGTGATTTTCTCTTTTCTTAAGAGATTTTTCTCCTTTTCAGAATTTCACCATCCCTGCAGGTGACATGCTGATGTTGTCACCGTATTGGTTGCACAGGAACCCAAAATATTTTCCTGAACCAGAAGTGTTCAAACCTGTAAGTTGTCACTCTTACCATGCATACTTTGCTGTCTTTTCTCCTCTTTGCTTATTTCACAACAAAAGCACATGGACAAATTGGCTTAAATTTGTGTATTTCCCGTCATCTGGAGGATGGCCAGATTTTTATATCTTCTTCTCTTTCATATGGAGAAGATGTGCACAAAAGGAAGAGCCTGTAGGAATAAGCAAGACTTTAAAGTTCAGTTATTTATTCCAAATAATATGGGACTACTTTGTATCACTTTGATCTTGATTCGAAGCCCACCATGGAAAGACCCCAGTGATTTCACTGTTGAACCCAGCTCCAAGTACTCTCCTCTCCCTGGCATCTGTATAGCTCCTTTCCACCTATTGACCCAGGCTCACTGGTCTTTCCAGTCAGATGGTTTCTGGTAGGTACTAGCTCTGCTAATTCAGTAGCTCATCTGGAGTTTCTTGATTATTATTCCACTCCAGGTGGCCATGTGGGCAGGCTTGTAACTGCTCTTTTTAGCACCATCTGCTATAAAACAGTTTGTCTTTTTCATAGAAATACATCAAGGAGGAATTTAAACAAAAATTCCCTTCTAGCAAACTCTTCACTGATTGAATTTCCCCATAAGAATTCCTGCCTGTTTGAAACACTAAGCAGAAACCTTGATGCAGCAGCTTATTTCTTTAGTAACTTCATTCCTAAAAAGCAAGCTAGCTTGTTTTTTTAAAAACTCGCCCTTTTTCCATGAGGAATAAGTGAGTACCCCCTGGACATTGTCATTCCAAATGATATTGCCTTGCTCCATCACTGCTGAGATTTGTTTTCTTGCTTTTATTGGATTCTGATGTTAACAGGTTTCCTCTTCAGAAAGCTCTAAACAGGCGAAGCTGAAAAAAAATCCAAAATAAACAAACACAAGATTACATCTTCTTTAAGACAAGTTTCATCAAAGGAGTTAGCCACCATGAACCTGACAGGGTGTTACTTGAAGGCCTTGGTAGAGTTGCACTGAGTTTCTGGAGGCTGTTTGTCACCCAGCATTCAACAGATTTACTTCTATCAGTGTCACCCACCCAAACTTTAGCCACTATTGCTTTGCTCCTTGTGTGTGGTTCCTTTTCTCTTAAAGGAACTCAGGATGGAGCAAGGAGCCCTCTGGGTACAGACATGCTGGTGTTGTGGAGAAGAGTTAATTTTTTCACCCAGTGGCTTGCACCTGAGAATGGGGCTGTGCAATCTTTGCTTTTCTCTTGTGTGGCAGCTCATACACCTTGCATTTACCTGTGCACAGCATCTCAGAAATGGTTTGTGTGGGAAACTTGTATGAGCCCATTTGTGTGCTGTGAGACAATTTTGTGGCTGAGGGAAGGTACTGGTTGAACATTTGCTTTGGATGTGCCTATATTTAAAATGAGAAGGTCACATTTTTATAGGCATTTCGATAGCTCAAGACACAGGATTTAGAAAAATGAGGAGGAGGTATAGGAAGAATGCTTTAGGGATGATTTTGAAAACCTCTCCAGCACTCGGTATGTTTCAAATGGGACCCTAATTTCTTTCCCCGAGTTAGTGCTGAATTTTGAATCCAGACTCTAACAGGTTGAATGCAAAAAATGGTATTAGTGCAACTTTGTATTGAGGATTAGCTGTCCAAGGTCATTTTTAGCCTGGAGGAATAAAGTTAAGCTTTATTTATATAAGGCTGATTTGGAAAAAAAAAAACAAAACAACTTTCTTCCCACAGGATCGTTGGAAAGAGGCAAATTTAGAGAAGAATGCTTTCTTGGACAGCTTTGTGGCATTCGGAGGAGGGAAGCATCAGTGTCCAGGAAGGTCAGTGAAACAGCTGGGGTTTATTTATTCCCGAACCCTGCAGAGAACAACTCTCAAACTGGGCTCCTCTTACACTTGGAGATAAAGTGTTTTCATTGCTTTGCTCTTTGTCAGTCCCCTAATGCTCAGTATTATCTGTACCTTGTTTAAACTGATTTGAAAGTGGTTTCATTCCTGGAAAAGACAGGTTAAGTCACAGTGTAAAAGCAAAATCTCAGACTAGTGTATCGAGGGGTATCCCCCAGGGAGGAAAGTCAGCCTAGCTCTGCTGCTGCTGAGGCACCACGAGTTGTTCCACTTAGAAACATGCCAGTTTACAGACACAGGCGTTTAGGTGGCCATAAACCAGTTCTAAAATAACTGAAAGAACATTTCTCTGGTCTGAGACTCTCTTTCCATCCTCTATGATGCCATTGACATCTTTGCTGATCTTCAAATGTCTTAACTGGCTCCTCTCTGTTTAAATCTTGTCTTTGCATTAAGGCCCACACAATCGTGTGATGGCTTAAATTGCAGATCCTGTCTCTCTTCACTCCTCCAGCAATGCCAGCCTCAGTGCTTCCTGCATTCCTTCTGCTGTTTTCTCTGCTGTCCCTCTTCCTGGAACAAGTCCCAGGGAGCCAGCTGCTCCTCGTTTCTGTGTTCAAACATCTCTATGCTCAGTTCTCAGCCTTCAAAACCTGGTCTCCTCTAAGAAGCAAGTAACCAAGAATCCTTAAAATTAGTCAGTTTAACTGAAGAGTACCATGTGGAACAAGGATTCTAGAGGCTGTTGCAGAGGATCTGGATTCTTGTATCTGTACCCTGTAACAGGCTGGACATGCCTGTCAGATAAAATTTCTGAAGGCATTAAAGACATAAAATGAATAAAATTGCATTCACCATTCTTCTTTCACCAAGGAAGAACTTCTTTACTGTGAGGGTGACTGAGCACTGGAACAGGTTTCCCAGAGAGGTTGTGGAATCTCCCTCCCTGGAGATATTAAAAAACCATATGGACAGAATCCTGGTTCACATGCTCAAGGAGTCCCTGCTTGAGCAGGGTGGTTGGTGTAGATGACTTTCAGAGGTCCCTTCCAACCTCAACCATTCTGTGATTCTGTGATTCTGTGATTTGGGCTTGACAGAGGAAAGTGCTCACTCACTGCTATACCATATTCCTGAGCCAAATATGAGCACAGCCTCATTCCCAGCAAGAGTGACAGCAGAATTCATAGAATCATAGAATGGTCTGGGTTGGAAGGGACCTTAAAGATCATCCAGTTCCAACCCCCCTGCCATCAGCAGGGACACCTTCCACTAGACCACGTTGCTCAAAGCCTCATCCAGCCTGGCCTTAAACACTTCCAGGGAGGAGCAGCCACAGCTTCTCTGGGCAACCTGGGCCAGTGTCTCACCACCCTCACAGTGAATAATTTCTTCCTCCTATCTAACCTCAATCTCTCCTCTTCCAGTTTAAAGCCATCAGCCCTTGTTCTATCACTCCCTGCCCTTGTCAAAAGTCCCTCCCCAGCCTTCCTGGAGCCTCTTCAGGTCTCCCTGGAGCCTTCTCTTCTCCAGGCTGAACAGCCCCAACTCTCTCAGCTTGTCCTCACAGCAGAAGTGCTCCAGCCCTCTCCTCGTGGCCTCCTCTGACTCACTCCAGTAGGTCTGTGTCCTTCACAAGAGGCATTCACAGGTACAGGCTGAGCTACAAAAAAGTGTTTCTGAACGCTGCTTGTTTATATTTACTGACCTATGTCTTTGTTCAGGCTGTTCTCTAGACTCTGATAATATCTTTAAAATAAGGTTGTGGTTAGAAAGAAAATAATAACATTTCTACATAGGAAATGGATGGCAAATCTCTTTCTTGCTGAGAGACAAAAAGTCCTTTCAAACCGTTTGGCAGTCCACACGGACACGCTTTTCAGCAGTAATTCTAAATGAATAATGTGGTGGTCTTGGAAGAAAGGAAATGAAATCAAGGAATGTATCCAGATCCCAGGTTGCAGATTTCCTTGGTATGACTGAATGAAACAATGATATTTCAAGTTTAAGATGCATTTTCATTTAATTCAGTACTGGCATTTATAAACGAAATGTATGAAACATTTCATTTCTCCGTTGCAAAAGTTCATCATGAAATTAGAAGCTAATTTGATCAAACTGAAAGCTAGAAAATAACTTCAAATATTCTAGGAAACTGACATGGGAAGAGCTCCTACAAAGCCATTTCTGAGCCATCTTCTTTTTTACCTAAAGGTAAAATTTGATGGCAGTGGAGCTACTTTTGTCTAACCAGGTGACTGTGGGACTGTGCTTATCTCACATGGCTCCATCTGTCTTCTGCTACCTTATGCCAACATTGTAAACCCTTCAGCACAACAGCCGTGATTTCATTCTCAGATTCCATTTACTGCAGGACCTCAATCCACAGCTGGACTCCTGGGTTCCAGCACATCACCAATATGTAGCAGTGCACTGGGGGAAAGATTTCAGAAAGCACATCATTGTCAAACCCCCTTAAATCAAACAGGAAGGCATCAGTGACTCTGAGTTCTAGGGGAGGCTCTAGGACTCAGTCATGAATCCAAAAGACAGGTGGGAACTAAGGGGCTGCGAGAAAGCTCATGGTTTCTGCTTAGTACCATGTGCTGTGGGAGAGAGGGATGCACTGGGACTCTGCAGTCCTGTCTTTCACTCTTGGGCTGTCCCTCTGGCCACCCTGGGTGGCTTATCATCCTTGTGTCTCAGCATCTCTGTTTGCAGAGTGGAATAACAGCAGCCTTTGGAAAAGCACTTCGAGATCTAACGATGGGAAGTGCTGCAGTCAGTTGCCCAGAGAAGTTGTGGACGCTCCTCCCTGGAAGTGTTCAAGGCCAGGCTGGATGAGGCTTTGAGCAATGTGATCTAGTGGAAGGTGTCCCTGCTGATGGCAGGGGGGTTGGAACTGGATGATCTTTAAGGTCCCTTCCAACCCAGACCATTCTATGATTCTATACCCATTGCTACTTGGGCAGACTGCAGATGAACCACATTGCTGGTACAGAGTTGTCAGAGCTGGTCAGCCCACATCTGGTGTGTGAAGGACAGCCCTCTGTAAATGCAGCCTTCCACTTTCAGGGCCACTTAGAGGCATTTTGGTGTTTGGTTGCAACATGGTACATCTGTGCTAAACCAGTGAGGATGGCTCAGAAGCAGGACCTCAAGCAGCAGGAGCCCAGGGCCACACTGGGCAACCTTACAGTGACTCTAAGGAGCCCACCTTCATACAGTGCTGCAGGCATGGAGTTTGGTCTAGCAAGTCCTGCCTGAGCTGAGATAATTTCCATTGAAATAGCTCTTCACTGCATTCCCCCAAGCTCAAGGTCACCGAAAGCTCCCTATCTCAAGGTAATTCCAATGTGAAATCACAGAGATAATTTGGGTCTGAAGCCACGCCAAAACATACAAACATGGTTCCACTCTGGAGCAGAGGGTGGCTCAGCATGCAGATCTGGATGGCTCTGCAGGAGTTAGTTTGGGTCTCATGGGGCTTATTAGCTTCCTCTTCACACCTGCCAGGCCAAATCCAGGCTGACGCCATGCGCAGTCATGTGGCCTTCTCCCCAGTGAATTCCCCAATAGCTGTTTTATCCAAGTTTTCCAGCATCTCTCAGATAATGGAAAATAAAGCGTGTAGAAGAGCAAGTTGCATTACAATTTTAGCAAGGTATTTAAGACTTGTGTCTAAATTCTGCAAGTGAGTAATCCCATGACCTGGCATAGGTGCATGCTAGGGCCTGAATGCAGAAAGCTCTTGGACATATCGACATTCAAAAATAATAGCCTAGAGGAGTTCACCTGCAGTTATCTGAAGCCTTCTCCAGGCTGATTAAGAAAGACCTTTCTGAGAACATTACAGAAAAAAAGATCCTGCCCTTGGGTCTCATACTCCATTCTACTGCTGATGCATTAAATCATAGCTCCTGCTGTGACAGCTACTCTGATGTCATCAGGCTCCCAGCTGTATTATATACCTTTATATAGCACAATTAGTCATATAGCCTTTTCTATATTTGACTGTCTTCTCACTCCTAGGAAGTTATTTCAAGTCAGCAAGCGTTAGAAGAACATCAATGTTTACACAGTGGAAAAAACCGTAACGATAAGGGAGATGTTTTAAAATAGGGTGTCAGAGGGATAGCGTGGGTCTAACGTTTCACCGGAACGAAGGGGCAGCCGAGACATTCCTGTTCTTCCCTAAGTAATGAAGCTGAACAAAGCCATCACGTATTTTCCTACTGAAGATAAACTTTCAGGCAGAACTAAAGCATGGAATGTAGAAGGTGTCAAAGACACCCTGTTTCTTATCTGAAGATAAGACACGTGTGATGGTCAGGCTGGATGGCCAACGTTTTCCTCCCTTTTCTTGCAGGTGGTTTGCTATCATGGAAATCCAGTTATTCGTTGTGCTATTCCTATACAAATATGAATTTGTGCTTTTGGATGCAGTACCAAAGGAGGTAAAAGATCAATAGATAGCATGGATCCATGTCTTTCTATCCTTCATTCATCATGCTCAGCCGAACAACCATTCTTAACTATGCTTGTGTATAATAAAGGAAAATTTTGAAAGGAGTGTTAATAAAACATGTAATGAATAATTCAATCTTTGTTTTAACTCAGAAAACCTGGAGTAACTCCAGCAATGTCAGTGGGGCTCCACTGTCTATACAAGAAAGCGCCTACAGGAGTATTTTGTCTCATCATTGCCTAAACATTACCAGAGATTTTATAATTACTTTCTGCCACTCACAAAAACAATGGATATGGAACTGGATTATTAATATTTTAAAGATACGAAATCAGCTGCAGCACTCACAGGGCTCTTCCACTACATATTCACTGCTGGAAGAGAAATGATTAGGGTAAGACTGAAGGAGCAACTGGGACACAGATTTTACCATTAAGGGAGAGTGGTGTGGTCTCCACTCTCAGCAGTAATTTCCTTCTCCATTTGCACTGTGTCCCTTCCAGTTTCCAAAAACCATTGTTCCTCACAAACATGGAGTGTAACTAGCATGTTTACCTGTCACAACCTCAACATGACACACATAGCTCCTATAGCTAAACTGACAAGAAGAGGGAGAAGTTGAGTGGCAGGGGCTTTGTATGATTGCTCTTTACGCTGGAAGTTGGATGATCGGAGAACTTCATTCCTCTGTTCTCCTTGAAGAACGTGAGATGTTGATCTCCAGAGTGGTAGAAATGTGGTATAAGGTTGTATCTTCCTGACTGATGGTGTATTGCCATAATTGCCTGCACTCACAGGCAATTATGCTGGTGAAGATATTAAAAACATTAGAGTTTCTTAAGATCTCACATGTCATCTTCTGTCAGAGTGAGTGTAGTAAAAAGTAATCATGAAGGCCCCACTCAATGGCTTCAGCAAAGCCAAGAAGTACTCTCAGTATTTGGTCTTGGTTCTCTAAAACCAAAGCTCCAAGAATATGTTTCTATCTTAGTGTTAAAGCATGATGATAATTCCGTTAACTGAGCTAACTTCAATGTTTCTACTGATTTTCTTCTTTTTGCAGAGCCCTTTACATTTGGTGGGGACACAGCAACCCATGGCACCATTCCGGGTCCAGTATAAACACCGGCAATGAAAGCTGCCCAGCACTAACTTACCTTCATTTGCCAGCCACACCCTCGGATGGACAGGCCTCTGAGCTGCTTCCCTGTCCTACATCTTCAGATAAGTTCTCTGCCTTAACAGTTCTTAATGTCAACTTTAAATGCTGCACATGCTCTGAATTGTGGTGTACCAGTAGAGTCGTATCTGTGCTCCTCACCTGATTGCCTACCTCCTAGTACTTAAAAATCAAGCTCTCTTGCTGTGTTTATAATTTGAGGTCTAATTATTCCCAGACTTTGCAAATCTGATATACTAAACTCACCAACCAGTCATTCAGGACAAAAATGTTTGGAAATCCTGTGTGGAAGTTGTGCTAGAACCAGCAGAAAAGCAGGTCCCTTGGGCCAGGTCACTGCTTCCTGTGGGTCTCTGAACCAAGACCAAAGTGGTGCCTTGTGGTAGCTCCATCCAACTCCCTGGTGCTGGTGTGCACAAAGGACAGGACAGTGCTGAGCAGAGACCTCTGGATCAGACCTGCAGCCACGATAAACGGCATCACTTGATGTATCACCACTTGTGTAGGTAGGTGAAGATCTGTCCTGCTCTGCGTACAATCGGGGCCAACCTTTTGCACATAAAATGCATTTATAATGGCAAAATTGCAAGCAGGGGAAACACTGGGGTCTTGTTCCACTGGAGCATCTAAAATTTCTACTGAGCTTTACTTGGTCCACAGGATTCAGAATTGGTCCTTGTATGAATATGCAATGAAAGTTTGACCATGATGTTTGGCTTCTAATGAAAAGAAATAGCAAGAAAAGCTATTGCTATTCGTTAGGCTGCTTGTCTCGTATCTAGAACACTTTTGCTTTCTCCTTAACAGGACTTACTAATAGAACAAATTGCACAAATCTAAAAATATTTCCTCCTATAAAGAACAACTAGTAAAAGTTGTTCAAAGAAGCTGTCAAAGAAGTTCAGATACCACGACTTTAACTGCTGTCAGATCTCATATATGATAATAGCTGGCATGTATTTTTAGCCTTTGAAGTAAAGATTATTCATAATTTTACAAATATTTGCAAAAAAACCCACAAATGGACGTTCAGCAACAGTAAAAACTATGGGAATAACATCCACAGGAAAATAACACATCATATAGTTCATTAAATGGCTGGCTTACCTCAGTTGTGGGTGCAACAATTTAACAAACTTTAATGATTTATATGGATGGAAAGTGATTTGTCCAACTTCTGATTTATGGTTATAATGGTCATAATGGTTAAATCTGTAAGAGTTTGCACTTTAACTGCTGTTTCAGAATCTCTTCCATAACCAAAAACTATTCCTTTGGTTTTCATGTGTGGTCATTACCCAAAAGTGTATATTTTAATTTTAAAATTTGGAAATGTATGCAATATCTGTTCAGGTATCCTGTAGTTTTGCAAAGATTTTCTTTTTTTTCCCCAAAGTGCATTTCTTTTTATTTTCCTGTTTAATTAAATTTGAGGTTTGAGGGTTTTTTGTGTGTGTGGTTTTGTTTTGTTTTGTTTTGTTTTTTTTCCCAAGAGAGGTAACTCAAAAAAGCAAAATTCTGTAATAGCAAACTTGACTTTAAACTAAAAATGTCCCTAAAGGAAAGGAAAACCTGAAGGTCAGTATTGGTTTGGTTAGACTGAATAAAAGGCACCTGAAGCCAAGTAAAACTGTGAATATTTAATACCACACCACTTTGCAAGGCTTCTGATCTGTCCTGAACACGAGCACAACTCTCATGTAGTTTCTGTGTATTACTGAGTTTTTCAGACTTGCTGTGATTGTGTGTCTGGCGAGAAATACATTCAGCCTCCTTCCATCCTGCAATAACAGCCTGTAGACTATGTTGGGTATGTGATAAAAACCACATTTCCCCCCATAAACAGAGGAGCAGAGGAGCAGAGGCAGGTGGGGACCCTGAGCAGTGCCCTGCCCAGCACCTCCCAGAGCTGGCCATGTTCAAGGGTGACACCCATCAGCTATAAACTGGATGAGAGTAGATTTAGATGAGATATTAGGAAGAAATTCTTCACTGTGAGGGTGGTCAGACACTGGAACAGGTTGCCCAGAGAAGCTGTAGCTGCTCCTCTCTGGAAGTGTTTAAGGCCAGGCTGGATGAGGCTTTGAGCAACGTGGTCTAGTGGAAGGTGTCCCTGCTGATGGCAGGGGGGTTGGAACTGGATGATCTGTAAGGTCTCTTCCAACCCAGACCATTGTATGGTTGTCTGATTCTACGTTGTACATGTGTGTTTGTACATGAGCCTCCTTGGAATCCAAGCTCAGCCTCACTGCAGGCTGGACCCAGGGGCATGGAGCTGCAGCAGCCTTGCCTCTGTTAGGCCACCAGATTTAGCAACTCCCTAGCAGGCTAGAATCAGTCATGAAAATATTTATCCTGAAAGGCAGGACATATTTTTAGTAAAGTGTGGGCTTTTGGCAGGAAAGAAGTACCTGCTCTTGACAGCCAGAGAGATACCAAACAAGCAAGTGAAGAAAAGTGGCCTCGACTCTGGGATCCCATCACTGTGTGACTGCTCTGTAGTGGATGACAGCTCCATGCACGTCCCATGCTTTCCTAGGTAGAAAAAAACAAGGGAGATGGATTAGTAAAGCCATGTGGTGGTCAAGTGATAGAGCTAAATGGGGTCTTCTACCTGGAAACAATTCAGAAGCTTCTGGGGAAGGGAAAGACAGCACTTTCCCACAGGGACAGGGTTAAACGGGTATTAAAAGGTCATCATGATACCCTGCTCAGGACTGGATTAACAGTATCTAAATTATTCTTCTTCAAATGTTTGTCCAGTCTGCTTTTAAATACGGCAGTACAGAATTCCCATGGGGCATGTGTCCTCTTACCTGACTCTCCCTCCTGTTAGAAAGCTTTTCTACAGATCAGCAGGAGTCAGGATGAGGTTTTTATTCATACTACCACCACAAGAAGAGTGTCACAAGCAGGAGATTTTTAACCCAAAAAGAAAAATAAAAGTATTTTGACCTATCTTTGTATTTCTACCTTCTGGATGAAGCATGGATGTTAAAGGGAATGCAGTGGGGCATCCCTCAAAAACTGTCTTAGAAAATGCAATCATTCCTCCTCCAGATGAGCCATAGGCCTGATCTATCTGAGCAAACCTCATGGTTCGGGCTGGCCAGGACTATATGTTGGTATTCATTTATACTGGGAGAAGTAACTCCTGTGTCTAAGCCAGAGAAACAAATGGTAGGAGTTGTCTTAACGAGAGAGAGGAAATCTAGTTATGAAAAATGAGCAATAAAACTCTTTCAAATCAAATTTCCTTTAATAATTTTTGGACTTTATTGTATATTAAATAAGAGTTTCAGGAAAAAAACCCCACAGAAATCATCACATTGCAGCCAAACCTTTTTTTGATACTTTTGAGGGAAGTATAAACATCTTCCCTGAAATCATAAATTTCCTGGGGAAACAGAATATTTGACAGAAAACTCATCAAAACATTTTGGGTTAAAATTGTTGACCTATGGCAAGTGAATCTTCTCCAGTCAGCACGGTGAAAAGATAACCCGTCATATCAGCAGTCACCTCCCAGAATAATCACAACTTCTTTTATGTCTTCCCTCACTGAAGGCCCCTCTCATCTGTACTTAGCAGTCAAGTGTTTCAAGTGGTCTCTTTCTTTACACCAGTAACGGTATTTGGTATCTTTTCTGCGCCGCTGATTGTCACAGAAACCAGAAGTTTGGGCTTAGCACGTAGACCTCCTGAAAACAGATATCTGGGGACTCAAAGATATGGCTGTAGCCATTGAGAGGGAAGCTAAAAATAATGACTTCCTTTCAAAAAGAAATGAATTTTAAGGCCCTAGCTCTGGTCTGTGCTTAAGCACTGTGCCAAGCAAAACTCAACTTAAGCATGCGCTTTGCTTTAAGCAAACACTTCAAATGGATTTGCGGAATAAGAATGGATTTCAGTTTAAGCACACGCTTAAGTGCTTCGCTCAACCAGGGTCCAAATGCTAACCTGTTGTTTACAGCTAGTCTTGGCCTCTGTGTTGTAATTTTAAGGATACACAAGAGTTAGTGGAAATAGTGAAGTAGCTTTGCTCATTTTAAGGGGAAACTGGCAAATGTTAAAGGCTTTTAGGAATTTTTTTTTTTTTTAAAGTCACATTTATAGCATAAACCAGTAGGCTTTATTGACAGCAAGCATCTTTCCCAGTTATTTGGTATATTCTAAATGTGTGGCTCATCACATCACATGGCAAAAAATATTTCCTCTCCACGGGTATGCAGTGGAAGGGGAATTGGACACAAGAAAGGCATTCAAGAGATAGCAAGCGTTTAATTGAAACAATGAGGAAGCAGCTTTCATCATGTAACTGTTCTGAATGACACTGGACATGCAACTGATTGGCACAGCTTTATGTATTCTTTTTTTTTCACTTTGATCATAAAATTACTAGGAAAGGCTTAATGGAGTTATAAATATCTTGTTTCCATGAGAGTCCTGGGAAGATAATTATAGCACTGAAGTCTTTACAGAGATAGAGCATTTATAAAATGATATTATCTGAGGACTCCAATGGATAATGCAGGGAATTCTGCACTCTATTCCCAGCTCTGCTATTGACTCACTGTGCTCTTTGGGCGAATCACTTCATCCCTCAGTGACTCAGTTTCCTCATCTATACTTTGGGGTAATAATGATAATTACCCACTGCTGCAAAGTCTCTGTGGATTAAAAGCTGTAAGTGTTGTCCATGCTCATCAGAACACTCAAGCACTTTCTGCCAGTAACGGATGTCTGTAAGACACTGGATAAGTGATGTGCTTTCCTGAACTGGAACGGTCATATTTGTGATACTGGTAAATTACACCACTTGTAGAGTAGTATATTAAATATTAATATAGTAAATATAT